TTTATTGTCTTGCATATCAAAAATATTTGAAAAGCTAATCCTTCAACGGATTAAAATAATCCTACAAGAACAAAGTTTTATTCCGAACCATCAATTTGGGTTTCGAGACAAGCATTCAACAATTAAGAAAGTTCACAGAATAATAAACGTAATTAACAATGCACCACATAATAAAGAGTACCGTTCTGCGGTTTTTTTGGATCTCAAGCAAACATTTGGCAAGGTATGGCATACCGGATTAATGTATAAAGTTAAAATATGTTTACCAGATTCTTTATTCTTATTAATAAAATCCTATTTACATTGGCTTCTAAACAGAAAATCAGAATTATCAACTTACAACAAATTACTTATATATGAACTCGTGTGGACCTACGGATTACAACTTTGGGGTACTGCTAAAAAGAGCAATTTAAATATAATACAACGAGCACAAAACAAATTCCTGCGGCAAATATTAAACGCTCCTCATTACACGCCAACATGGATCCTCCACAAAGACACGGGTATACCTACAATTCAAGAACATATATCAATATTTGCCTGTAATTATAAGAATCTAATTGACGCACATCCTAACCAACTAGCATGCAACTTATACCAGGAAGGTCAGCCGACCAGGCTCAAAAGGAAACTACCTCGAGATCTAATATAGTTTATTTTTATATTTTTTTTTCTTCATATTTGTCTTTAGTTTTTTTATATTATATATAATTTTAGACGTATCTACTAATTTGTAAACAATCAATTGTAAAAAACTTGTCAGCATTCTCTGCTAAATATAATTATTTTTATAGATTGCAGAATGAAAATAAAATAAAAAAAAAGTTGGGAGACAGAAGTTGTGTGATTGTCAGCTTTTCTAGTACCTATATTTATATTGACACATTGCATAGCTTGTTCACTCTACAGCCATGCTATTGTATTTGACAGAACATATGATTTATTCTTAACATATGCTCTTATTTTGCGAATTCATAATATATTATTCATCACTAAAATATGTTATTTATTAAAATGTTCATGCTTTAAATCTATTAACTTCAATATACTATTTCAAAATATTTTTTGTTAATAATATTTTTTTAAATCATTAATGCTGCTGCTCAGGTATTTGCAGATCATCTGTACTTTGTTCTCGTAAGTATTAAACCTAATTAAAATTAATACGACTAATTAATAGCATTTCACATTACAATTGGGAAAAGAACTTGAATACAAAAACCTTAGAATCAAAACACAAAACCCTTAAATAGTAGCAATTCAAACTTTATTTTAATTGTATTATTTTAGAACAGATATATTTAAAATGAATAATATAAAATTGTTTTTGAAATATTTTTGATGATTGGATTGATTTTTGACTTAAAAATAAAAAAATACATTAACTATAATATCAATGTAATCTATAATATATCTCGTAATATAGTAATGGGTAGTACTGCCCTCGGGCAGGCCCGTGAGCTGATTGTGAGTAAAACACCAACTCGATTCAGGGAAGAATAGTGTGTGAATTTTTCCAAAGCCATTTCATACCGCAGTGCTTGCAATTGGCTTATTTTCAATTGAAAACATATTTTTGATATATATTTTCAAGTGAAAGACGACATCGTTGCTGTCCGATGCTAGGTTTGCCAGACCAGGGGCTTGAACTTGCGACCCCGTCCACACGAAATCGCGCGTCTACGTTATTGCGCGCCATAATATATATATATATATATATATATATATATGTGTGTGTGTGTGTGTGTGTGTGTGTTAAGTTAGTGTGACGTTGTTTGGGCGCGATAGGCTCCTCGAATACTGAACAGATTTAAAATTTGATTTGTTCTCTGAGAGCATTCAGATCCAACCTTGGCGGTAGGATATATTAAAAATCTTAATTTATAGTCGAAATGTTATATTTTTGATAATTTCAATTTCAGTTTGACTTGTGTCTAGACTAACGATCTACGAACACGAACGAACGATCTACGAACAGTAGACCCTCTGCTGAGGAGTACATCTTACGCTACAGTGTAAAGATCATTTGTTCTATGATTATATTGTAATATTTGAATACAACGGTTTATAATACGTTTCTATGATAGTCCAGTATGGGGTTGATTGAAGTTAACAGTTGATGATTATATATATATTACTAGCTGACCCGGCAAACGATGTTTTGCTAAATAAGGTATATCCTAAACCATTTCTAGAGAATCAAAAATATTAATACTTTAAGTGCATAAGGATGTGTTGTTTGAATGCTGTATACAATTAGATATTATAAAAACAATAAACCCCATTAGTGTGTCTATACAATCAAACTGGAAGATTTATACACTTTCTATAGAAAACATGGTATAATCAAATCCTAGTCATTTTTGGTCTTTCGACTTATTCATTACGTTTCACGTTTTTTAGATTCTTTTTAGATTCTGGATTTTGTGTATAATTGTAAGTAATACTACTGAGCTTATAAAAAAATTTCAAATTTCTGCGAGGAGAGATAGAAAATGAATTAATTATTTCTACTTTGACCTGCTTTTTGAAAAGTTTCAAATAACATTCGATGAATTAACGTAAATTTAATGAAAAGTATATATGTAGAGCAGGGCGAGGCACAGAATTATATCACAACAAACAACACATTTCAAACAAACAACTATCTGACTACGTTCAGTAAAACTGGCAGCTATTTTATCATTGTAGAAATGTGCTTTTTTGATGTCTTTCAAAAATTTGTTATCTAGACCTATTTACTCCATAGACAGGTTTAATGTCTTATTTTATTCTTATTCCCTCTACTTTCAAATATTGTTGTTAAACATTGCTTAACTTTACTGATTTTTGACACATCGCTGGTGGTCCTTTTTAACCCCGAACCTTCATATATTACTATCTATTCTTCGATAAATTCTAGGAAATTATAACTGGGAAAACGTTATTCGACAAAATGCCCCTTTGATCGATACCAAATTTAGGTTCTGAATTAAAATAACATAAATAAAAAATATTATAACCTAGAAAATGTTTTATAAAAACCAATGGGTATATGGGTTTAATTATACAAATGAGATCTTTCAGAGAACCGTGTTTGAGAAAAATATTGCAAGAAGTGCATTTTCATATTAACATTTCAAAAAAGTTGAAATTTTTAGTTTATAGTAACACTTGAGGCCCGTTTAATAACGTTTTTGTATACAAATAAAACTACTTACTACAATTTAATCATAATTATAAAATATAAACGTAAAACATGTTATTAAAAGTAATTGAACATCATCTGTCAAAAACGTTTGACATTTGCCACCGTTCATTGTTTTATTCAAATTACTACGTTTCTACAAAAATTTTCAAATTAAAAATGTAAAGTTTCTACGCGATTTTCAAATAATATCTCACCTTTCCGACCATCTCTGGATTGGCACGAATTTTTCAAGACTAAGACTGGCCTAATCGGTTTAGCCGTTTTCGAGTTTTACCGAATCATTTGATCGAGAGCTCCATTTTTTATAGAAGACTAGCAAACCCGACGAACTCCGTTTCGCGACCAGATGGTTTCGTGAGAAAGATGAAGAAATTTTTTGTTTGTTTTATATTTGAAATCGAAAAATTTGAGTTTTATTATACAACAGTAATGAATTTATTTTGATTGCAAACATGAAGTGTTTTTTTAGTTGAACTTCTCTAAGTAAATGAAAGTGAATCCGCAAATTATCCGTTTCATTGAAGTGCTCTTTGGTAAACCACATTTTTTGTTTTTTGGTCTGACGTTAACACAAACAAAGCGGATGGTTTTCCAACTCGTGAACAAGCAACGTATAACTGCCCATGTGAAAAACAATGATTTTCTAAATAATCTATTTGAAATTTATCCCGCAAACACTAAGCGATTGGCCTTGCGACTTGTTATTGCGAACGCAAGGCAAACTGGAAATTGCAATCGTTTGAAGTCAAACGGAAGACCAGACGGAATCATTGGTATGTCACCAAATCGCCAGCAATTTTTGATTGAATGGTGAAATTCAGTGCGTGTACATCATTATTTTTTGCGGCATGAATTGTTCGTTGACTTAACCAAGCATAATTCTGATAATTCTCACTAATGTCATTACTCGAATTTTTAATTACGGTGCGTGAAGTTCCAGCAATTTGCATTAGGGCACGATGCCATACACCACTAATTTTCTTAGCTATAAACCTTGCGGAGCCCGAGACCTTTCCAACTAATGCAAAATTGTCGAAATCGGTTCGTGCGTTCTTTTATTTTGTCAGGAAGGAAAACCCGACTTATTTTTATATATATAGAAGATTATATGCTAAATTAATTAACAAATATTATGTATTGTTATGTTGCCAATTGTGAATTGGTGACAAGTTATTGGTAGAAAATGTAGCAAACAAAATGTATTTTTGAGATTATTGTAAGTTTATTTTTATTAAATATTAATAGTATAGTTCATGAAATTATTTGCGTTTAACTGAATTTTAATTTATCAAATATATATTTTATGGTCAGGGCCAGAAACTAAACAAATTCATGCAAGAAATGTGTTTCACGACTCTTGGACACATTTATTGATGGAATATGAATAATACATAAATTATATTTTTTAGTAAATTTTTATGTTAAATGTGAGCAAATAGAAAATATTTGTGAAACATTGATATATGTTATGAAAAAAAAAATGTTTTGTATTGAAGCATTTGCTCAATTGCACTAGAAATTTTATATAAAAGTTCATTAAAATATAATTTATTGTAATTTTTTTTATTTTAATTCTAAACGTTTTTATCTAAAATCTTTGCATATCTGCTATATTAGAATCAATTTGAACTGTTAGGATATTATAAGACCAAGAGAAATAAATGCTGGTAAATATTAAATATTTGTTCAAATCAATATAGCTATGAAAATATAGTTAACCAAAACATTTATTATTACAAATATCAATTGTCTTTTTGTTAATGTGTTTTGAAAATGTTAGTGAAAATAACTCAGTCATATGATTTAGTATTCCAGAGCTATGCATCTTCACCATCTTTAACACCTGACGATGACGTTTTCAAGCATTTGGCTTTAACATACAGTTCGAATCATGCGAAGATGTCGCACGGGGTAGCATGTAAGGGCGCAGGTCCGCGATTCGACAGAGGTATTACGAATGGTGCAGCATGGTATCCTCTCACGGGCGGCATGCAGGATTATAACTACGTTTGGTAAGAAGACACCTAAGATGATCAACTGTAGTTTACAGCACGCTGCGTTTTAAACTTTAGAACAAAATAACTGTATTATTAACCATTATTTCTTTCCTCTAAGGTATGGTTGTATGGAAATAACATTGGAATTAAGCTGTTGCAAATATCCGCCCGCAAATGAATTGCGAAAATATTGGGAAGATAATCAAATGGTATGACCTTATTAACAATAAATGTCCGATTATAAATTTAGAGATACTATATTCATTATTAAATTTATAAAATTTTGATAGATTGTATAAGCATAGTGCTATGTTAATATATTTTTTTCTTTAAGTCTTTAGTAAAATTCTTGGCCGAAGCACATCGAGGTGTGCAAGGATTTGTATTTGATAGCCACGGCGGAGCAGTTGAGAAGGCATCTTTAAAGATAAAGGGGCGTGATGTGGGATTTACGACTACTCGATTTGGAGAATTTTGGAGAATTTTATTGCCAGGAGTATATAAATTGGAGGTTAATTAATAGTTCAATATACTTGTTAATAGAATTATATTATCATATAGAAAAAGCTAAATTATATTTATAGTATTCTTGTACAATTTTGTTTAGTTGCGGGATACTTTATACCTAATAAATGAAACTCTAATTTATTTAGATAATCAACATATATTATAAATTTATATACACAGGGGTTTAAAACTGATGTTTGTCAATAGGTTTACGCAGAAGGGTACGCTCCTCGAGAAATTGACTTTGTAGTTGTGGACGAACATCCAACACTATTAAACGTGACTTTATATGCTGCTAAGGTGAGTATTTTTAAGTTTTTTGAATATTAGTAAAAAGTAAATATTTCATAATCATTAAGTTAGTTTAATTAATATCAAAGAAATAATATAATTGACTAACAGTTTTTCTTATTGTAGAAATTATTGTAAACCAACATATTACTTTAAAATTACGAGTTGGAAAACAAAACTTTGTTGAGATTTTTGTTTTAAATTAAAAAGAAGAGATATTTCAACTTCATTTTCATTTATTACAAGAAATTATATCACCAAGAAAATTTTTACAAAACTTTTTAATTTTTACTAAAAAAAACTATTAATTAAAAATTTTTTTATCGAATTTTTTAAATTTTCTACATTATTGATAGGGAGAAGTCCCGTAACGCCAGACGGCACCTAGCGCCGGACACTCTATTTGACACGCATTATTTAAGCGAGTATAAATCTTTTTATTTCAAAATACAAGTGAAAGGGGCGCGGGGGCACACAGACACAGATCACGCGCCAAGACTTACCTATGACGCACTATAGTGTATCGAGGCAAAGTAACGATACTGAGTACAGAAAAAGGAATCGAGGCAAAAGATCGATACCAACAAAGTATCGTGGCAAAAGTATCGATACTACTCAGTATCGAATATTGAGTACATTTCATCTAAATCAAACATAAGTGCGAGAAAGATCTAAAACTTACTACAGATCGAATTACAATATTATGATAAATCCTATTGCCTGTATTTGTGCTGTTAAATCAGCATCATTTTCAATATTTTGAGAAGTTTGAAACAATAATTATTCGATACTAATTTCAAATTTGATTTACATCTAAAAGAAAAATACTTTACTAAATAATTATAAAATAGTATCGTTTTGTGACGAAAGTATTCTTTTATGAATTTAGTATCGGCTAATTTATATCAAAAAGAAAAATACTCAATAATTATAAAATAGTATCGTTTTATGACGAAAGTATCCATTTATGAATTAAGTATCGGCTAATTTATACAAAAAAGCAAAACTACTCAATAATTATAAAATAGTATTGTTTTGTGACAAAAGTATTCATTTATGAATTTAGTGTCGGCTAATTTATATCATAAAGAAAAATTACTTAATAATTATAAAATAGTATCGTTTTGTGAGGAAAGTATTCATTTATGAATTCAGTATCGGCTAATTTATATCAAAAAGAACAATACTCAACAATTATAAAAAAGTATCGTTTTGTAACGAAAGTATTCATTTACGTATTTAGTATCGGCTAATTTATATCAAAAAGAAAAATACTTAATAATTATAAAATATACAATTATAATCATAATAAAAAACATATAAAAATTTTTAACACCGCGTATAATATATTGTAGTGGTATTCACCCTTTGCAATAATTATAAATAATATTATTAATTCGATATAACAGTCAATATGAATAACGCAGTTAGTATGACTCAAGCTTGCAATATTGTATGCAACAAAGTATCAGAGATAAACATGCACGTGCAGCAGTCAGAATAACGGTCTGTAACCGCAACTACGTCTAAAATGAATAGTTGAGTCATTCGTAACGGTTTCTTCGATGACAAATAAGCAAGTATGAATCATTTCGTAGCAAACCTTCTAGAAGGATGGTTACGTCATCATCAGAGATTATAAAAACCCTGAGTTGACGAAGCCAACCGTTCATTCTCGAGTAGACGCCAAACAGTTCACATCAGTCTTATTTCAAAATATCAATTGTGAATTAAGTGTAACCGAATAATGAAGTAAATAAAGTTATTAAATGTCTTCAAATGTTTAATTAAATATTTCCACAGTGAAAAAGCTTATGATAGCAGCAGAAGAACCTAATTTTAGATGTTGACATCGTTGGCGTGACGCAACATAATTGTTGGCAACGGATCCACAACAATATAATGATAACTTACAAAACTAATAAATATTGAGAATAGACAGAAAAACAAAATAAAATTTAACATTACGATAATTACTTCTATTATCATTAAATACACAATATAAAAATTGAATTTTATAATATTGTAGGGTATGGTATCTTTCAAAGCATTCAATCTACATGTAAACCAGCTTTTCCCCAATCTCGTTAGTTACAATACTGATTATGAATGATATTCGAAACTAACAATATGCATAAAAAATAATTGTGTTAAGAAATCTGTAAAATTATATTACTATTATCCTATTACATATAATAGTTGTATGTGCACAGATGCACTGGACGCTTTTGCATATTATGTACTTCTTACAATAGATTAGGTACAATGATCATCTTTTCAACCCGAAAGTAAACAGCTTATTGTAAAAATTAGATATATGATCAATTGTTAATCCTCAATTATGTGAATGTATATGTTGAATGATCAATTGTTAATTGTATCTGTAGACACGGATAAGATAATCCTTATTTATGTAAATGTATATTTATATAATATATATATATATATATATATATATATATACCAGGTGTATTAATATCAAACCGCCCTCTCTTAACTTAAAAAAACACGTTTATTGTAAGAAAATGGTACAATTTATTTCATTCAAAGTATTTGCCATCGTTTGTCGCACATTTTTGCCATCTTTCCGCCAAATTGTGAATGCCTTGCCAGTAGAAGCGTTTGTTTTTTTGAAGCAAACCATTCACCGAGCCATTTTTCCACTTCTTTGTAAGAACCGAAGTGCTGTTCAGCAAGCGCGTGTCCCATGGAAGAAAACAAGTGGAAGTCAGAAGGCGCCAAGTCTGGTGAGTAGAGCGGGTGGGGTAAGACATCCCAGTGAAGTGCGGCAATGGTGTCTCTGACCGGTTTTGATTTGTGTTCTGGGGCGTTATCATGTTGGAAAATCACTTTTTCGTGTCTGGTGACCCATGATGGTCGCTTTTCAAGCAATGCATCATTCAAATTCATTATTTGCTGTCGATAACGTTGGGTATTAACAGTTTCGCCTGGTTTAAGAAGCTCATAATAAATCACACCTTCCTGATCCCCCCAAACACAGAGCATTGTCTTCTTCCCAATGCGATTTGACCTCACAGTCGATGTTGAGGGTTGACCAGGATCGACCCATGATTTTTTGCGTTTGAGATCCTCAAAATAGATCCATTTTTCATCCCCAGTCACGATTCGATGAAACAAGCTCTTTTTTTCGTGCCTTTCGAGAAGAATTTCACAAGTAGTTTTTCGTTTTTTTGTTGTCTTTCGTTTAATTCATGTGGCACCCATTTTCCACACTTTTGATTCTTGCCCATGGCTTTTAAACGTAAGAAAATGCATGCTTGTGTCACATTTAATTGTTCTGCAAGTTGTTTTTGAGTTTGACTGTCATCGTCATCGAGCAATGCTTGCAGTTCGGCAAAAAAAATCAAAATTGCCATTTCTGAATCGTCGAAACCACTCCTTGCACTTTCGGACAGAGCATGGTCACCGTAAGCTTCCACCAACAGACGATGACTTTCAGCAGCACTTTTTTTTTTTTTTTTTTTTCAAATAGTGCCAGGAGGTCGGACCAATATGTTTACATCGGAAAAGGTCTCGCTGCGTTCAACTTCATCAGTTTCTGACTCAAGACAGGAAGTAATATCATCTAGTAATAGTGCATCTACAAGCCTCACTCAACCACATTCTGATGTCAAGAAACCTCCTAATTCATGGCAAGTAGTCAATTTCAAAAAAAGAAAAACTTCATTTGAACCATTAGGAATAGATGTCAAAATTCAAAACCAATTTTCGGCCCTTTCAACAATAGAAACAGCTAATGATGACAACTCAGTTAAACCGGCTCCAGTCAGTAAGCCCCCTCCAATATTTATTTACGGAGTTGACGATATTAATGATATGTCTAATCAATTAAATGAAATAATTCCGCACGATCAATATTTCCTGAGAAGTTTAGCTAACAATACATTTAAAATTCTATGTAATTCTGTCGACCATTTTCGAACTTTATCCAGACATCTAAAAGAAACTAATGCCGTATATCATACATATCAATTAAAAGAAGAGAAGGCTTATAGGGTTGTTCTTAGAAATGTACACTTTTCAACAAGCACAGATGCAATTAAATTAGAACTATTAAAACAGGGTCATGTCGTACGTAATATCCTAAATATTAGACATAGAATAACAAAAGAACCTCTTAATATGTTTTTTGTTGATCTGGAACCAAATAGAAATAACAAAAATATTTATAACATTTATAAATTATTCAACTGCATAATACGCGTCGAACCACCGAGAAAGTCCAACAACATTATACAATGCACTCGCTGTCAACTCTTTAATCACACCAAAAAATACTGCAATAGACCATTTGCTTGCCTAAAATGCGGTGACAATCATAATACTATAGCTTGTACCAAAGATCCGAATGCTCCGGCATGTTGTTATTTTTGCGACGGTGCTCATCCAGCTAATTATCGCGGTTGCTCATACTTCCAAAAATTAAAGAACAAAGAAACAAAACTCCAGTAAATCAATCAGTCATAAATCCAAATCCAAATAACCAAAATTTTAAAAATTCTAATAATTCTAATTCTTATAATAAAATAAACAACATTTCTCCGGCCTTAAATCCAACAATTCAAAATTCATCCTATGCAGACATTGCAAAAAACAATTACTCTGCTTCTAATCATTCACCTTCAAATCCTGATTCTGATTCTTTAGCAACACTTATTTTAGAATTTAAAAATATCTTCAATCAGCTTTTGCAACAGAACACCATAATAATAAATATGTTATCCACGTTAGTCAACAACAAAAGCAATGGCAAAAATAATTAAAATTGCTGAATGGAATGCCAACGGTTTAATATCTCACAAAAATGAAAAAGAATGTTTTTTAAAGTTAAACTTAATAGATATCTTATTAATCTCAGAAACTCACTTCACTGAAAAAAACTACTTCAAAATTTATAACTACACTACTTATAATTCAAATCACCCAAGTGGCAGGGCTCGCGGCGGTTCGGCTATATTAATCAAAAATAATATAAAGCATTTTGTTCTACCAAATATTTCTGATGATTTACTACAAGCAACTCAAATTTCTGTTGAAACAAATTTATATAATTTTTGTGTTTCTGCTGTTTATTGTCCACCAAAAAATTTCTTGTGCTCAGTTTTCTTCATTTTTCTCTCAATTAGGTAATAAATTTATCATTGGTGGTGACTTTAATTGTAAACATATTGCCTGGGGTTCCAGACTGACTACAGCCAATGGAAAGATTCTTCATGCAGCCATAGGGAAAAATAACCTCTCCTTTATGTCAACTTGCAGTCCAACTTATTGGCCTTCTGACCCTACTAAAGTTCCAGACCTTTTAGATTTTTTTATTGTGAAAGGTATTGATCTTTCAAATCTCAATATTGAATCTAGTTACGATCTCTCTTCAGATCATT